GTTATTAATAATTGCCTCATGTCAGATATGTTTCTGCAAATTCATCTTCACCCACTGAGGAGGAGATGTGGTCCATACAATGCAGTCATTATGGTAAGGTAATAACTGCTTGATGATGCTTCCTTGACTAGTAATTTCCCATTCTGTTTCGTTGCAGTTGATGGAGTCGACTCTGCCGAGCCCCTCCAGGTCCGAGGGCAGCCCGACACGGCGCTGCATCACCCCGACCCCACAAAGCCGGCCTAATAAAAGGAAGGAACACGATGAGGACCACGCCACCACCTCCATAAAAGACCTGCTAACGGACTGCTCCAAAATGGCAGCATTACGTGACATGTGTGCTGTGCAAGGGGATGAGCTGGACGAATCGCACTACTTTGGAATCGTGGTCGCAAAGGGGCTGCGGACGTTGCCGGACAAAATGCGGGCAGATGCCATGGCACAGGTGATGGTGCTGTTGAGCAACTTCCGTCAACAAGCTTTCGAGCTGCAAACAACAAACGACAACAAGAAAACCTGATGACACGTCTTTGTTCTTTTTTTTCATCCATTCTTACGCGTTGTTCTTAATATCATAAAATCTTTGCTTCCATCTTCTGCTTTTGTCTGTGAGGCTCGTAGAGAGAAGCTGAGAGTTTCTCTGACAGCATGCTGTGAGGTGTGAGCTCGCTACACTGTTGCTGACAGTTTCTGGACATTTTTATAGTTTTTATAGGACATTATATAGCAGTAATTTAACATGTGCACATCTCTGTGAAATTGCTAATGATTTATGTCTCATAATGTGAGAGCTAGCAGACAGCTGTTAGAAAAAGGAGAACAATGCACAGCTTATTCCTTTCTTTTTTTTTTTTAAATCTGAAAAAGCAACAGGAACAGTTCGATTCCATTCATAAACCTATTGTTAATAGTGTGATTACATATCCTAAATTAATAGCAAAATACTGTTCTGCCTTTTACAATGAACTGTTCAAATCCAGCCAGTCATCTACATATAATGTATGAATATTAAGATTTGTAGGAATCACTCAGCTGAATGGAAGAGTAGATGTGGTGCTTTTCTCACTCTGGGAGAAACAAGAATAGCCATTTTGAAACTGAAGTCCCTAAAACTTCTTGTTTTAAAGTCTCGAATTATTACAGTTATTAGATATCGGTGTCGTTTTGGTTAAAAAAAAGCTAAAAGGATTTCTGTTGTTTGAGACTACAAAGTCAAGTTTGCAATTAAAACCCATGAGGCCTGCTGTTAAAATAGCTTT